GGAGCACATGGCGGCCGCCTGCAAGCGGGGAGGAGCGCGATCCCTGAAGGGGAAGACGGAGGGGAGACGTGGGGGGTGGGCTGGCGCGTGGGAGCCCCTGGGCCAGGGCCTGGGGACAGCCGGCACGCACTCACGCACGCACGCACGCGCGCGAGGACGCACGCGGTCTCGAGCGAGGGGCGCCGGGGCAAGAGAGAAGGGCAGGAAGGGGGTGGGGGAAGGGAAGGACGGTCTGCGCGCGCGCGAGCTGGCGCTCCTGCTTCCGGCTCCGCATGCCGGCAGCTGGGGAAAGGGTATCACGTGGTCACGACTCCTCCTCCTCCTCCTCCTCCTCCCCCCCTCCCCCCCCTCCCCGCACGGCTGTTCCTTTCCAAAGAGGGGGGGGCTTTGCCGTCGCTTCTCTCTTTGGTTCAATTGCCAGATCCCTGGCTCGGCAGCTGAAGCATCGGGGTTCAAATCCCGCTTACGGAGCTTACTCTCTATGACCTTGGGAAGGTGACTCAGCCTCCCTGGGCGTAAATTTCCTCCCCTGCAAAAGGAGGGGTGTGGACTAAGCGGCCTCTGAGATCCTATCTGCAGCTTCCTTCCCCCTTTCCCCCCATGCTTGGAGGAAGGGAAACAAAGCTACATGGCTTCCCCTCTGCATCCCCCCCTCCCAGATGCTGCAGCGCTGCAAGCAGACTGAGAGCCCTCCGATGGAGGAGGGGGAAGAGGATCTGCAATGGGCCAGGGCACAGAGGATGTCCTCTTAAAAAAAAAAAAACCCTGCCCACGTGCACTGCAGACACCCAGGTCTATGCAGATGCCGCATTCTCCGAGCCTTTACCATGGAGACAAGCCACGCTAATTTTAAAGCTAGAATGTCTTTCCCCTCCTATCCGTATCTTAAATCAGAGAGATTTGCAGTGTGATGAAAAAGCATCCTGGTTTTGAGTTTAAATCTGAGCTCTATCTCCGATTTCCCTATATGACCTCAGTTAAGTCACAGTTAGTGAGGGCCAGTTTCCTTACCTGTACAATGAGGGAATTGCGTTAAATGAGCCACAAGGTTCTTTCCAGTTTTAAAAACCCAGATCACACTGATATCCCCTTTCTCAGGATATCTATTGCACCACTGTCCAAATCACCCAAATGGGTGCTTAACGCTAATCTTAGCTGCAAGGTTATATGGCTTTGCAGTCCTATTAGGGGATTGAATTGTCTTTAGTAACCAATTTTTTTAAAAAAGTTTTAATTTTTAACTATTAATTTTCATAATGTGGACATGAGAAGCATCAGTGGCTTCCTGGAATAGAAAGCTGCCCTCAACCAGGAAGACCTGAATTTATGCCCCACCTTTGCCTCATACTAGCTGAGTAACCTTAGAGAAGCTAATTGACCTTTCAGGTCCTCCTGATAACCCCAGACTATAAATTGTAAAATAACTACTGTTTGAAGTAGTTCAGGGAATTCCCTGTAGGGATGAAATCACAAGTCTGATACCAAAATATATATATATATAGAAATAGAATCATGCTGTATAAGGTTCAAGGATGGTGACATTTGGATTTTCTGGGTCCAAGTATATTTCAACTAAAAGTGACTATGACTTTCACTGTGTGACTATTACCCTTTTTCTGAAGTTAAGGAGGACATCAGTCAAGGAGTTAACAGCTGGCTGGCTGCTCATTTACTCAATCCACAATCACCTACTGATCCCACAGTCGATGGTACTGAAACTGAATTCCGTTTCCCATGCCACCCCAAGCCCCAATTCAATTAGATTACTTGTTAGACTCTTGGAAAGCAGGAACAATACTTTACATTTCTTCATGTCCTTCTGTGTTTCTCATGAACTATCTTGTACATACTATCACTTAAATATTAGTTGAATTCATTCATTCATTCAACCAATACTTATTAAGTAATTATAGTTTAATAAGCAGTGTACTAAGGCACTGGAAATTAATACAAAACTTAGATGAGATCCTGTCTCAGCCCTTTAATACTGAAATGGAAGCTCAGTATCAGTGGAATGTGGGCTGCCCCAAAGGTTAATGTGATCTTAAGCAGCACAAATATTATCTAGAGTTCCCACTTCTCACATACTAGCTGTGTGACCATCAGCGAAGCTCTTAATCTCTGTGCTGTACGTTGAAAAATAATTAACGTGGTAGGAGGATTTTCCTTACCAGGAGTTAGATATACCAACAAAATCACAGCTTTGTTTCGGTTAGCCATTTCTGACTTCATTTGGGGTTTTCTTGGGAGGGCTACTGGAGTGGTTTGCCGTTTCCTTCCCCAGCTCATTTTACAGATGAAGAAACTGAGGCAAATAGAGTTAAATGGCTTAAGCCCAGGGTCACATAGCCAGTAAGTGTCTGGAACTGGATTTGAACTCAGATATTCCTGACAACAGGTCCTCCATCTAGCCACTGTGCCACCTAGCTGCCCTGAAATCACAGATACACACAAAATAAAAATCTATTTGTACTGTTACTTAGGCTGTCTTCAGTAGTAGGTACCACATTTTAGGAGGCACACTGATAAACTAGAGCATGTTTTAAAAAAAAAAGAGTCAAGATTGTGTAGGGGCCGTTACATGAAAATCAATTGAAAAACTGGAAGTGGTTAGCCTAGAATAGAGAACAAGTTGGGGGTATAAGAGAAGGAAAATGACAGCTGTCTTCAAATATTTGAAAAGTTGTTTATCTTATGAAATGGAGAATGAATATTCAGTCTCTGGAGGGGAGAACTGAAAAAGGTAGGAATTAGATTACAATAAAGCATCTTGACTCCTCTCCCAGCTTCACTTCCAAAATTCTCTACCTTGTCCCAGCTCCCTTCTCACCCTGGATGATCCTTCTGCCCCTGTAACTCCCTCCATTTTGAGGCACTGTTCCACCCAGCAATTCACCACTCTTCTCCTGGCTCTGCTCCCTCCAGGCTTCATTCCCAAGCCCCAGTGTGGGTATCTTCTCCTCTGCCCATTTCTGCTGCCTTTCATGGGTTGTCTTCTTTCACTGAAGGAGAGTGAGGCTGACATCTACACAAAGCTCACATCCAATTCACTGGGAAGTCAATCCATCACCCTCATGATGTCATTGGTCCTCTTCCAAGGACAAAACAACAGCATCATCTCTTTCATTAGAATGTTAGCTACCTGAGGGCTTGTATTTTATATTCCCAGTGCTTAGCATCGTGCCTGGCATACAGTAAGTGCTTAATAAATGCCCGAGGACTTAGTTTGGAATAGATTGCCACCACTGGTGCCCAAGCAGAGGCTGGATGTTAGAGTGGGGAATCAGAGCTGGTCAGGGCCTTGGGTGTAATGTCAGAGATTTGCAGAGATTCCCTAATCTCTCCTGGTTCAGCTCTGAGCCCAGCCACCCAGCCACGTGAAAGATCAAAGACCTTAACTTCAGCTGTCATGAATCTGAATGAGATAGCCCACTAACCACTAAGGAGTTCTGGGTAAATTCCAGTGGACAGTCAAGTCAACCAGCTTTTATTAAGCACCTACTTTGTGTCAGGTGCTGTGCTCCACCCTCCCGCACTAACAGAACAGCAGGAAGCCCCCAGCTAGTAACTTTTGGGTCTTCTTCTAGCACTGGTACCTAGAGCCAAGGCACTGCCTTCCTCTGGAGTGCTTAACATGGAGTACATGAACCTGCTTTGTAGTCATTCTGATTATTACATTCCAAAATAACTGGTTTCCTCTGTATTCCTCTGTATTTTATTTAACGAATTTTAAAATATTATTCTGAGAAGGGATCCATAGGCTTCGCTAGGCCTTCCAAAGGGGTCCAGGACACAAAAAAAGTTAACAAAGGTTCTATGTAAGCTTTGTTGCTTTTCTGCTTAATTCAAGAACCACAATATTATTAGAGAAATTCCTTTTATTGTACATTACAAATAATTAGTAAAGGCACAGGACTCATTTAAACCACCATGTCCATAGAGTATGGCATAACCTCTATAATTTGTAACAATTGGATCACTATAACCATGCTTCCATTTTTTGAGAAAAAAGCCCCCAAAGTTATCTCCTTTTTCTAAAACAATTTTGTAATTAATGAAGGAGAACTTTGTATAGGACAAGCAGGATTTACAATTTATTAGGAAAATGGACCAGAACTAACATGCAATAGAACTATTTGGGGTTCTAATGGATTGAGGAAAAGACCACAAAGTTTTGACTAGACCACTGATTCTCAACTGCAGGCCTCCAGAGGACCACAGGCTCATTGCAAAGGATAAAGGAATTAACAGGCAAAATTGTAAATAAATAAACCTACCTTCCATAGATCAAATGTTTTATAGGCATATAAATTGCTATTTTTAAAAAAATATAAAGATGTTGTTATTAATAAAAATATTAAATCATTTTAAAGTATCACTGAATTCATAGTAGATTTTTTATTTTTGCTTTTTGGTGAGGCAATTGGGGTTAGGTGACTTGCTCAGGGTCACACAGCTAGTAAGTGTCAAGTGTCGGAAGCTGAAGTTGAACTCGGGTCCTGATGACTCCAAGGCCAGAACTTATCCACTTTGCTACCTAGCTGTCCCATAGCAGATTTTTTGATTGGATATTTTCTCAATAGCTGATACCACAAGTATGATATGTGGGTCAGATCCATGAAATCTGACATTTAAAGAAGTTGGGTAACCCCGATTTCCTCCAAGAAAGGAGTGGGGAGGGGGTACAAATTAGGTAGTGCAGTAGATAGAGCACCAGCCCTGGAGTCAGGAGGATCTGAGTTCAAATTCAACCTCAGACACTTGGAACTTACTCACTATGTGACCCTGGACAAGTCACTTAAGTGAAATTGCCTCAAAAAAAACAAAAGGTTGAGAATTACTATTTTCAGATAAATAATATAGCTAGTGTTTTCAGATTTGCAAAGAGCTTTACATACATTATTTCATTTGATTTTTACAACAACCCTGTTAGGTAGGTGTTATTATTTATAATAATCATTTACAGATGAAGAATCTAGGGCTGAGAGATATTTAAGTGATTTGCCCAGGGTGACATAGCTAGTGTCTAGAGCAGGATTTGAACCCAAGTTTCTGGCCTCCAAATTCAGTATTCTATCAACTGTTCCACCAAGAGGCCTCAAATCATTACATTATATTATATGTAAACAATATAGCTCTACAACATCAATCTGGTTATGACATGAGAGTCAAAGGCATTTTTCCCAGTGTAGTCATAGCTTGTTAAGGTCTTCTGCTTTCCCAAGGTTATGGATAGCCTGGTTGTCCAGCAACTCCATCTTCTTCTCACTTGGCATTATTAGGTTATTAAGCATTGCTCTAACAACAGTTGTAACAGGTACAGAATGACCTTTGGCCCAAGAGGTTGGTAGTGAACCAAGGAATTTTCTGGCCAACCACTCACCTGGGCGAGATTCTTTTCTGTCACATAATAGGACTCTAAAATATACAAGGCGAAAAACAAAGATATTAGGATAAAATGCATAATTAGAGAGAATTTGAGTATAAGATTTCACCTGATGCTTCAGAAAAAAAAAATTAAGGAGACAATTAATAATGCCCAATAAGTATTTCCTAACTACTCTAAAAGCATCTTTATGCCAATTTCTCCCAAGAGCAAAGGGAGGGGACATCAGCAAGACAAACTCACACCACCCTGCCCAAAGACAGAAAGGAAGGAATAGTTCTCCTTAACCCTGCTTTCTTTAAATGAGGGGTTTTTAACCTGAGGGCTGTGAATTCTTTTTTTAAAAAAATAGTGATAACTGTATAACAATTTCATTGGTTTCCTTTGTAACCCTATGTATTTTATTGTATGCATTTAAAAGCATTATTCAAAGGAGTCCATAGACTTTACCAGACTACCAAAAGAGTCCAAGACACACACACATACACACACACACACACACACACACACACACACACACACACACACACACACACACACAGAGAACCCTTGCTGTAGGGGGTTGAAGGAATAAACTGTCTTGGCCAGCTTGTTGTCCATTTCTGGACCAGACAGACAGGTCAGAATAAAAGCCAGGGGAATGCCTGAAGGGACAAGGATTGAAAACCATAATCTTTTAAGTCAAGTGTAATGTACAAGCCCAAAGTTCCTGACACTATCAAAATGACCTATCCCTGGCTTTATCTAGGACTTGAGGATGTTCCTTAGCTTCGCATTATACAGTACAAGAAAATATGACATTCCCAAAATGTAAGATTAGCTACCTGCTTTTTAGTGGACCTTAAAATACGTGAGCTAGTATCAGCTTCCCCCAAAGCCTAATTTACTCCTGAAGGCAAGTCTATGGAGCACTGTAATACTTACGCAGGCCTAAAAATTGTGTACCGATCAAAGTTGAATTCTTCAATTTTGGCTTCTACTTCACCCTAAAAATATAAATCATCAGTATTTACTCAAAGCCAACTCACTGCTCCCTGCTCTACTCTGATGAGCTCAAGATAGAGTGACTTCACCCTCTGCAGAGTAGCCAAGCTCCAAAAGTCTGAGTTATCCCTATGATTCATTTCCTTCAATATTCCAAGGATTCATGACTACAGCACTGTGGGCACACCACCCACAAACACAGATTACAGCCTCTCTGTGCCCTAGTAAGTGACCTGAGAAATTCATCACCTGCTCCTCATTTAGTCAAGCTAGTTCTTGGACAAGAAGCAAAGTCTACAGCAAAGATGACTCAAAAACCAGTAGTTTTAAAGTTTAGATTCAAAACAAAGTCATCCTGGCAAATCAGATGGAGAGGTCCTACCCAATCTTTGGTCCCACCAGTATTATGTGTAAGAACCCAGGGTCTCCTCCGTGTCGTGATGGAGCACTGGTACAAACAGGACTTTGATCAGATTCATGAATATTATAAAATTAGAGAATTTTAAATCTGGAAAAGACTACCACATCCAAATCCCTAATAGTAAAATGGAAGCTCAAAGAGATTAACTAACCTCCTAAAAGTTCAATTCTAAAGAGTCGGACAAAGTTTTCTTTGAGGGCCCCTTCCAGTTCTTAAATTCTCTGATAAATTTCTGATCAATCAATAAACATTTATTAACCTATGTCAGGCTCTGTGCTAAGCACTGGTGATATTTAAAAAACACAAAAAAACCATGCTTGCCCTCAAGGGGCTTATAATCTAATGGAGGAGACAATATGGAAACACATACAAAGTAAGCTATATCCAGGATAAATAGGAAAGAATTTACTGAGGAAGGCGCTGGCATTGAGAAAAGTTGGAGAGGGAGGGTGCTGTGCAGGGCCAGCTAAGTGGCACAGTAGTAGATAGAGCTCTGGCCTTGCAGTCATTTGAGCCTGAGTTCAAATCTGGCCTCAGATACTTACTAGTTGAGCGACCCTGGGCAAGTCACTTAACACCCATTGCCTCACCAAAAAAAAAAAAAGGTTGGGGAAAGCTGCTGTAGAAGGTGGGATTTCAGCTGGGACTTAAAGGAAGCCAAGGGGTCAGTAGTTGGAGGCTAATATCACATTGAAGCAGTGTGATGTAGTGGACTTATAGTTGACTTCAAAGTTAGGAAGACCTAGGTTCAAGTTCTTACTGTGATAACCTCTGGGCCATGTATGAGCTAAGGTAAGTATAGCCCTAGGCAAGGGTGTAAGACTATAAGTTACAGAGAGAGTTCTGATCTGCATTGGGATAGAAAGTTCTTAAATGGGAGCTCCCAGCATTGAGGAAATCACAGAGATTGTGCAAAAACAAGAAGAAAAGTGCAGGATAACACAAATAAAAATGTCTCTTTAGTCTTAAACTAATATTCCAGACCAGTGGCTCTCACAGGGTTTCCGCCGATGAACCACTTCAGTAGGTCCATTCCTCCACCCACATATTCATCATACCATTCCTCAACAAACCTGACCCGGGGGAAGCATATTATTATTCCCATTTTACAGAAGAAGAAACTTTGGCCCAGAGATGTTAAGCTGTTAGCGACCTGTCTAGGGTTATACAGCTAGTAATGACTCCTCATCTGCTGCTTTATTTGTTCCAATGTGCCATCTTTTGAGGGGATTGCCCTTGAGGTTTTTGTCTCCCTGGGGGTCAGTAGACACAGGTCTTAACTCAGGCTCTGTCATTTGACTTGCTGTATGACCTTGACTCTACCCATTCACCTTGAAGAACCTTAACATCCCCATCCATAAAATTTAGGTGGGAGCCTACATGATCCTTAAGGTCCTTTCGAGAGCTGAATTTTATGAAACTATGAAACTCCAGTTCTCTATGTTAGGCAAAGTGATTTATAAGATTCTTCAGGAAAAAAATTTTTCAATCAAAACAATCTAGCAGAAAAGATGTTGCTTCAGGCACCACTGATTATAGCCACTTTCGTTCCAAGACAAGAAATTCTATGAATGTTTAAATCTGTGAATGGTACCAAGGAAGCAACACTACATAAACTTGAGAAAATACAGAATTCTTTTCATCTTAATGCATTTAGCTCTGAATGTTTTTTTTCCTTTTTTCCCCCTAAATTATCCATTGAATTGTTTTATGCCAACAATAAAAAAAATAATCTGTTTGCTTCTTAGAATTCATACCTATAAATTATTTGGACTGTATAGTTTTCCTTTTGAGAATGCACTCAGCTTTGGATTTAAAATTTTATCTTAAACTTTTCATTGACAATAGGACAGATGTCAATTAAAGAAACAATACCATGCAGCTCTTCCAGGGTGAAGGACCATGGCTCCTGAATGCTTTGTTGTTCAGTTGTGTCCAACTCTACGTGACCCCATGTCCAAAGTCCATGAGATCTTCTTGGCAAAGACACTGGAGTGGTTTGCCATTCCTTTCTCTAGTACGTTCCCTTTTTACAGATAAGGAAATGAGGCAAACAGGGAATAACTGACTTGCCCAGGATCACACAGCTAGTAAGTGTCTGAGACTGGATTTGAACTCAGATCTGCCTGACTCCAGACCCAGTGCTCTATCCACTGAGTCACCTAGCTGCCCCTTCCTGAATGCTACCAACTACCTAATAGGGCTGGGCTGAGTGGAATCTTTAGTAAAAACCTCTTGGTCAGATGATCTTTTACTGACCTGAACTGGATTTAGGTCTAATAAGTCAATTACATATGTACAGGATGAGGAAGACAGGAGGAGTTATTGAAAATAAGAGGACTTAGTTGATCACAAGCTCACCATATGCCAACGGTGTGATGAAATTATTAGAAAAGTTAATGCAATTTTAAGCTGCTGCACTTGATAAATGAGAATTCTCAATGACTAATCTAAATAAACACTAGAGATCAGTATGGAGAGATATTTTCTAATGTAAGGTAACCTAAAATTATTTCCAAAGCTGAAGACGCCCCTTTCCCTCAGTAAAATACTCTTCATAAGTGTAAAAATTCAAGGTCATCATAATTCACACTGACCAGATGTGCTCATCAAGTCATCATTTAGAACAGCCAAGTCTCTTAACAGTTTATAAAAATAGGAACATACACAAACCTTAATTTGTAAATATAAAAAACTGCTCGACTTATCGGCTCCTTTAGATGAAAGTAAGTTGAAATGTTTGCAACCTCCAGCTTTTGCCAGCTCTGCAGACTTCAACACGTAATCCCGGTCAACACGAACAAATCCATCCTGCAGGAGGAATAAAAGATGTAACGGTGATTTCCAAGTGGCTGTGAGTTGGGATCGTGTCTCTCGGTTCATTTTAAAGATTAGTCTTTGTTTCTGGCTTGCACCCAAGCTACATCCAAAGGCAGTGCTGAAATTCAAAAGAAGAAAGGATCCAAGTATAGACAAGCAGAAAGAAGAAAAAGAACAGCTGCAAGGGGAAAAACAAAGAAAGATGACAGAGACAAACACAAGAGGCCCAGGAAAAGGAACTGAAGGTTAGGACACTTGCCACTTCTTTCGTCTTGATCATTTTTTTTCTACCACCTCCATCTCTCTTGTATTTTGTTGACCTCTCTAAGCTTACTGTGTGTGTTAAATGATAAGCTTTTCACAGTCTTCTTATACCTTACACTCTTATCCCCAAACTCTGAGAACTAGGGATATGATCCTCTTTTCGGTTCCCCACAAACAGCACCCCATCTCCTGACTCAAATCAATGTTTAATGGTTGTCCTCCATAACTGGAGCTGTCTCTCTCCTCCCCTCTGCTCCTAGCGTCTTTCAAGACTGCTAAAGTTCTACTTTCTACAAGACACCTTTCCTCATCCTTAATGTCACTGCCTTCCCTCAGAGATCATGTCCAATTTACCCTGAACATATCTTATTTTGTACGGTTACATATTTTCTCCTTCTTTAGACTTTGAGCTCCATGAGCACAGGGACTGTGTGTGTGTGTGTGTGTACAAGTGTGTGTGTGTGTGTGTGTGTGTGTGTGTGTGTGTATGTGTCCCTTTCTTTGTATCCCTACTGCTTAGCATAGTGCCTGGCATGTAGTAGGCACTTAATAAATGCTTAATAACAATTTGACTGACTTGATGAACCAAGACCATCTTCTCAAATAATCCTACCCTGTGCTAGCAAGGGCACCACATTTTAAAGAAGGACATTAACAAAGAGAACTTGCCCAGAGGCAGGAAACTAGAATGAGGAGGGTTCTACAAACCATAACCTGTGGGAAACAGTTGAAAAGAACTGGGTAAGTATAGTCCAGACAGAAGATTTAGGAAAGACAGCTATCTTCAGCTACCTGGAAGCCTCTGACATTACCCAGGGCAAAGTAACCAGAATGGCATGATCTTGATACACATGGAAGACCACCATTGTAGGGAAAAAAAAAAAGTCTGAAGCAGACTGAGAAAGCAAACTAGCCAAGTGCCAACGGGGAAGGAAGATCAAAGAACCATAGATTTAGGGCTGGAAGGAATCTTAGGATCACCTAGTTCAACCCTCTAAGTCTCATGTGGCAACAAATAAAATAACCCACCAATCGAATACAACTTCATTGCCAAGATGCCAAGCAAAGAAAGGACAATTGAAAAAAAAAATTAGCCAGAAAAGTAACTGGATGGCCCTTGGTTCTTTAGAATGAGCATTGTTATCACAATAGCCTGGTATCCCACAAACAATATCCCATAAATAAGAGATAGATAAAAATAAAGCTCAAATGTCAATTTTCATGTACCTTCTTAAATTAGCCAACCCCGTTTATTATGATGGCTTTGAATCCTTACAGCTGGGAGATGTCAATTCTGATTCTAACTAATTAATATTATTAATTAATTAATATTACTTAATTTACTATTATTAATATTAAATAATATTTTTAAATGCTGGACAAGTTACTACTATACTATTTTGAAAGTCAACCTCTTTGTTTCTACATAGATAATACTTATGACCAAAAATTAAGTTTAGGTGTTTGTGCCCTTTGGAGTCAAAGGGCCTGGGTTCAAATCTTAGACTTTACCATTTATCGCCTTTGACCTTGGGAAGGTCATTTAGACAATCTGGGTCTCATTTTCCTCATCTGTAAAGTGAATGAGCTGGATTAGACTAACTCAATAACAAACATTTATTCGGTGTCTATCATGGACCTGTTATACAGCAGGAGGAAACAAGAAGACTAATTAGGTCTTCCTCCCTAGGACGGATTTAAGTCCATTCTCTGACCTATACTGGCTACAGGACTCTGGGCACGACACTTAACTGCTTGCTGACTGAGGCAGCTCTCTAAGTTGCACAGAAGGTGCTGATTTGCCTTGGAGGAAAGAATTTTCTGACCCAAGAGTTCCCTACATTAGCAGTTCTTAAAAGTCTTTGGTCCCAGGACTAAGTTACACTTTCGAAAATTATTGAGGACTCCCCAAATCTTCTGTTTATGTGAGTAATATCTATCTATATTTACCATATTAGAAATGAAAATGGGTACATTTAAAAAATATTAATTACTTCATTTATGATAATAAACCCATTATATAGTAATTTGTTTGGTGAAAAGTAACTATATTTTCCAAAACAAACCAAAAAAAATTAGTGATTAAAAATGGCATTATTTTACAGATTTCTGAAAATTCTCTAAGTATCTAGGTTAATAGAAGATGGCTGGATTCTCATATCTGCTTCTGCATTCAATCTGTGGTGATGTGTAGTTTTAGTTGAAATACATGAAGAAAATTCTGCTTCATACGGAAAAGAGAGGAGAAGATTTTAGGCAAATAATATCTTGTATTATCATGAAAATCGTTTTGATTTGTGGACCTCCTGAAAGGGTCTCAGGGAACCCTATGGGTGAGTGGACCACACTTTTGAGAACCCTTGCCAATGAAATCATAAGTCTAGTCCAAAAAAGGAACCATTGGGGGCAGTAGGGACAAATTCAAAGAATGATACATGTGACCTCTGAAGTCCTTTCCAGCACCAAATCTAAGATATTATGATCTAGCTCATCCCTCTAAATTTGCAGATAAGGAAACTGATTCCCAGATTTAGGGATAGAACTTCCCCCAAGATTAAATGAGAGCCAGGACTGGCATTCAGATGTTCCAAGCCTCAGTTCAATCCATGTGCACTTTGTACTTACAGTATATCCTTTGCTTTCAGGAAGGTTAAACTATTTATATCTTAAACACTTCCCGGCCTGCCTTAGATGGACTCCAATTCTTTTTGGAATCAGTGTTGTGTAAACCAGCCTGAGATCCAAACAGCCCTTGTCAGGAAAGTGGCTTCCCTAGGCAGGGACCTAAGTTACAAGCTCAGTTAAAAGGGTTTCTTCAATTTAAAAGTTTTTCCCATTAGTTTTTGCTTGGTAACACGAAGATTCATTTTGTTTCTGCTTTTCTTCTTTACCCACTCTCTCTCCCACTAGCAGAATTCTAATTTTCAGAATCAGATACTTTATGCACCAAACTGCCAAAATTGGTGGGTGAAATATTAATTCCTACTTTTTTTTTTTAAGGAGCACTATTTGGAAGGATTATTGTCAGTGTCTGTGGTAAGACTCCCTGTCTTTTATCCACTTCTCAAAAAGGGAAGGGCTCAGCCAATCAAAAGCCCCTAAACCGACGCTGTCTCTGTTAATCCAAGGCCAGTAAAGGGACACTTTGATTAAACGGAGACCCTAATTTATTTAGCTTTAGTTCTGGATCAGCCTCTTGTTAATAGAGTGCTGTCGTCTCCGATTGTTGGAGGAAAATTAAAGTGACATAAATACCATGGGACTCTTTCAATCTGGTTAGTCCGCTACCTCACATCAATGCTACCCCAGCCATCAGACGCTGGCGTCCTTCCTTTCACCCGCCTCGCTAACAACTGACAACCGTTCCTAGGGGGACGAGCACCCACGCTGCCACTTGGAGCCCCACACTTAACCCATCATCCCCGCTCAATGGGGCCTGTTTGACAAGGTGCCCATACCTTTCTCCATTGCTGGTCCTGGGGACAAAGCTAAATATTGTTTTATTAGCAATCAATGGCCTGATAATCCACAATTCTACAAATCCACTGAGCTCCCAAGCAGATTAGAAACACCGCTGGGTTTCTTCCCCCACTATGCCCACTCAATTTTTGAATTTCATTTCCCTCACCCTGACGCATGGCCTTTTAGCTGGAGAACAAATCTCAAAGCCAAATCGGGCAAGGGTTCTTTAATGTGGCCAGCTCCCAAAGACAGAACTCACACTTAAATGTGAGCCATGAGACGCCTCACAGGTGCCTTTGTGTGCAAGCTTCAGCCTAACTCCCACAACCCTTTGGAAGGCGGAAGATTCTATTTGTTCAAAGAAAGGCAGCTGACTTGAAAGGACCTTACTAAACATCTATGCCCTCCCAATGACCAACAATAACACATACATAAAAGACACAAACCCTCAAATTTTAATTTAATAGGCCACACTCCAAGACACTTCTGTAAAAAATTAAGGCCTTAAACTCCATTTTGTTTGTTTGTTTGAAATAAAGAACACAAACTATTCGATATGGGAGAGAGCAGTTTCTAAGCCATAATAAGTGAAGCAGGGACACATTTGGCAAAGGATTTAACATCACCCAAAGTCCAGCCACTATTCCTCTTTCTTTCCTCAAATGAAAACCCTCTTAAAAGGAAAAATCCTAACAAAGGCACTCTATTTCTATGGCACCAGGGATACTACATATAGGATTTTAGAGTTGGAAGGTATTCTGGTGATCATATAATCTGATCTCCTCATTTTACAGATGAGGAAAACAAAGCTGAACGGCTTCCCTTAGCTCATTCACAAGACAAATGGAAAAGCCAATATTCAAATCTACAATCTTCTGGCTTCCAATCTAGGGCTTGTCTACATTACCTCCCTTGACAATTTTTTTCTTTTTCTTTCTTTCTTTATTTTTGTTCAGTCATTTCAGTCGTGTCCAACTCTTCATGACCCCATTTGGGATCTTCTTGGCAAAGATACTGGAGTGGTGTGCCATTTCCTTCTCCAGCTCATTTTACAGATGAGGAAACTGAGGCAAAGTTAAATGACTTGCCCAGGGTCATCCAGCTAGTAAGTGTCTGAGGCCACATTTGATGAGACTTCTTGACTCCAGGCACTCTATTTACTGTACCACCTAACTGTCCCAACATTTTTTCTACATCTTCTAGAAGTAACAGAGTTTCTTAAGAGGCATCATCTTCATCAACAGAAAAGAAGAATGGAAACGGAT